CTCAAGTGTGGTTGTATGGGCAGTATAATAGTCAATAAATTATATTTTACTTGCACATGAAAATATGATTGTTTCAGAGCGTTCTCGGTTTGCTATTGGCTGACAAAATATTTCCATGCAATTTTCTCAGTATGGCTGATGCCTTAAATTAGTTTCTATTGCTTTTAGGGGAAATCGTATACCATGAACCATTACCCGGACGATCAATTATTAAATCTGACCCTGGCCTTTTTGATTTGGTAGTAGTTGGAGAAATTCCACTACCAGGCAGAAGCTGGACTATTTTGAGTTTTCGACACATAGTGAGATATAATTACATTTCAACTTCTGGCTATGTACCATTCAGCAGAAGGAATAGCAGGTATTCAATTCCTTTGAACTGCAGAGATAAAAACATTGAAATAGTTTCAACTTTACATTTGGAGAACTTTACATACTTTGAAGTTTCAACTGTTAAGTCAACTAAGAAGATCTACGAGTATGCCTGATATTGGTTCTGTGATAAATCAGTTTAGTGCACCAGAAGCATAGGAACAAATCAGGTAGGTGAACAGAAGAATGTGGTCGTGGCTTTTGCCCGGAAACGCTTGTGAACATGTGTTTTGCCACACGATGTCTGCAGAGAACACATGTGACCAATATCATGGGCTCCAGTTAATTGCCTACAATTTAACTTCATTGTTTTCGAGCAATGCCTGGTATCATGCCACTTCGTTCAATGATTTGCTATTTTTAAGAAAATGTGCAATAAGCAGGGTATGAGTAATAACTGATATTTCAATATCAGCAACAGCTAGACTATGTTGAGACATGTCAGTCAAAATAAATAAAAACCGAAACCAACAGATAACAAGCAGAGTAACTTTATTTAACACCACTTCTATTATAGGTAATATTACAAACAAACTACATCAATTTAACAATGACCAGTTCGGCAGTTCCGGCAATTTAAGGAAACAATAATCCAGCTACAATCTCTATAACCAAATGTAATTAGCATAACATCTTATGTTGAACACCATGGTCGACTGCGTAAAGCTTCAGAAACTTAGGACACAGACTTGCACCTAGTTTACTTTTCAACTGCAAAGTGTTTTATGCATGGCATTTGGCATTACCATGTCCCCATTTGGCATTACAGTCATTGCACTCCCACAACAAGGACATGTTTAAATCAACCTGGCCCTGAGGATATGACATGCTAGCTTAATCAGACTCTTATTCAATGGAGACACGACGCCGCCACTCGTGTCCAACATCCACGATCTTGAGGGATCTCCAAAAACTAAGGTATGTTGCATGAGTTCATTGGATACCTAGAGATGAAAAGACACAATTCAGTTAATAACTCCACCATAACTAACTACTAGTAACATATTTGCAGAACAATAAGCAACTTACACGTGAGATGAAAGTCTCCAACGTAAGGGAAGCACCAAGGATAGAAAGCATAGACTGGCAATCAAAGCTCAGGCGAAAGGCCATTTCTCCAAGACAGATGATCATAGATTTCAGGTCGGTGAGTTTGCTAGACACCATTGGTGAATTGACCATCTGCACAATGATGCCAGATTAATCACTTATGTAAGCACACCACCAGTTTTAGAGCATACCTCCCTCTCCCTGCTTGGCATGCTGGACGCCAGCTCTGCTCGAGTGTCACAACCAAATACGGTCCAGCCTATTGCTACCTATCTATATTTATGGCCTGAATTTTCTTTACAAGTAAACAATGATGTGAGGCATATGTGTGTAAAATTTCAAGATGAAATGTGTTGAAATGCGCCTTGTACAAAAAAGAAAAAAAATCATGGTCTAGCAGGATGTATAGTATCATGTGTTAAAAAGTCCCAAATTTGACATTTTTGCACAGCTCTCGTTTCAACGTAATTCTTCATGAAAATATTACCCACCAATGCCACCTATGGCTATAAGTGATAAAAAAAGTTTTACATAGGAAAATCCCCCACCTGGCCCGGCCCATGTAGTAGGGACCTCCTATACTGCGCTCTGCACTGAGAGAATATGCAGA